CCGCTCGAGGATTTCGATGATCAACGGGACGACAGGTGATACAGGTGATATTTATAATCGTACAGCCGAGGAAGCATGGCAAAGTAAATCTTCTATTTTTGCATTTTGGTATGAGAAAAATGTAAGTTTTCAAAGTCCGAAATTGCCCACACCTTCGGAGTTTGCTCTTTCTCGCCTACGAGATCAAGCAATCATCTTGCTGCCCACCAGGTCACTTGCTGGAGGAGCGGCTAACAGATAATCTTGCTCCGTTAGGCCCGCGAGGGCTCATACACCCATCCTACAAGGAACACAGGGCTGGCGCTGGGCGATTCGAGTGAATGAAGTGGTCTGAGTATCCATAGCCCTCTTGTAGAAACTTCTGTTGTGGTTTTTTGAACAAACATTTCCGAACTGCTTTCTCATTGCCTTGGTCTTTTCCATCTGAAAGAAAAACGAGAACAGAACGCAAGCTCCGCATGTGTCCTCTTTCGGCACAAAAGATTTATTTGTGATAAATAATTAATCTGTGCCATAAAAAAGAGTCCAGTATTGCCAAATTATCACTCCTGGAAAACAGAGCAGTAGAAAAATACTCACATAGTCCACTTCGGAACGACAAACTCCATGTTTACCGCACTGGAGATGGGTAATGTCGCATTGATCAGCAGCTTGCCAGCAAGTTTGCCCCTGAAAGGATTTACTGACTTGAGCTCAGCTGTGAAGCAAGGCCGAAGATTTACAAAAAAAGTTAAAACCCATATTATAATTGATTAAAATTCGAGTTACATACACCATCTAAAAAAACTTACAGACCAGTTCTCGCGGCATTGACAGGCAACTCCACTCTTTTTCTTTTCACATGTTTCTGTTCCAAAGGCATCGCATTGTTCACATGATTTCAGTTCTTTTGTGTTAAAAGGAGTCGTTACGCCTTCAACAGTACTAACATCTTCAATAGCGAAGTTTTAGGAAAAAATTATTATTATTCTAACGGAGCTTGTTAGGAGCAATACTAAGCTTGGAAAGATTCCAAAAAGTGGTAGAGACTCAAAGGAGAAGACGGTAGAAAGCACGAACCGCTGGTGCAATTGAGCGTTGAAGGGCTTGGAACAAATGACCCGGTTTTTTCACATGTCAACGTAATATTCCCATCTCCTCCGCTAGAAGGGCATCCAACTCTGCAAAGTAAGGTTTTTGAATTCTTCCAACAACAAGACCCTTTTCCTTTCTAATTTCTAAAATAATGAGCCACTTATTTGTAGAGGCAATGATGACAAAATCGTACTTAATTGTTTCTCCAACGCGTACAGTTTGATTGGGGCTGGAGCCATGCAAGATGTCGTTGAGGCTGAGGAGCATGAAAACGTTCTTATTGCAGTGTACGTCACCATGGTATCCTGGGAAAAAATCGGTTACAAAAAACAACGTATAGAAGAAGCCGTAAAAAATATTTTAGTAGAGGCAATTGTGCGACCATTTTTACACCTACACTTAATCTCGACTTTCTATCAGATTGTACACCATCCATAAGGTTCATAAAAACTTGTGCAAAAGCTCTTCCAATTTCCGTCAAACAACTAACTAGATTCACAGAAACAAAGTCGAGAAATGAAGATCGATTTTGGATTTTCAATTTTCTTACGACTGCTTCTGTTTGATCTTTTACACGTAGCTCCGGTTCATTGTGAAAAACTGCCTTGCTTCTCGCTTTACAGCTGGGATATGGATTAACACTCTTTCGAAATTGTCGATAATTGTCGAATTGTCAATGCTCTCAATGTTTTTCCAGTAAAAAACATCTTCGTAACAAACATGATAAACAATAGTGCACGTGGGTGATTTCGAAACCGAAAATACTGAAGCGTGCTGGAAGTTCCAGGGAAAAGTCCGCCAGGGCTCCATTTCCAGTCTGAGGGCGAATGAGATTTTTCCGATCTACTTCATAATCTGTAGTATAATCACCGTCTCAGTCGTGATCCCCATCCCTCTTCGTTCTCACAGTCTGACAATGAGAGGATAAAGCGAGACGAGAAAAAGGGTGGTGCTCAATTGTTGCTTTAAAAGCGCCAAGGACAAGACGTAGGTTGTATGTCATCGTAGATTAAATCTCGTTTAACATTATTCTGTGCTTTCGTAGCGGTAAAATCCGCAGTCACACTTTACTTGTTGCATTTTACTCCGTTATCACCGGAGCCATTAAAAACAAATAAACCACCCTTACAAATATGGTCAATTCCTAACAGCATGGTTGTTCTATTTCGTTCCCTTATAAAACGTCTCTGTCAACTTCATATTCATGACAATATATTAGAAACAAATAGTAGTGAGCGAGGCCTAAAAATGACTCAAATCCGTTTTGATCTGACTTTCGCAAAAAAAGAATAAAGTTGAGTTACCCACTCGGAGTTGGTTCGACGATTCGTGCCGGCTTTACCGTTTCACCTGTAAAATGCATGCTACGGTTAGTCCTGAACAACTAAAATTTTTTGGTGTGGTGGCCAGTTGTAGTTGACTAGTTGGGTTACTGGACCTTTCGCGTAAGGAAATATGGCCTAGGGACAATAACATCTAAAGGGATTATTCAAGAGCAGGAAATCAGTGTTCCTATTGCAACGTACTCAGGCTGTGTCGGCTTTGGGCATATTTTAATGATTATCTCAGAGGATCGAGAGTAGTTTTGATTTTCCTCGCAAGCCTCGTATCTAAAAGTGGCAGATTCTGTTTCTGGTAGCTTCTTCTTCTCCCTTCAATTCATTCTAATAATCTTCTCGAAGTGTAAGCTAGGGATATGATAGGGATAGGAAGACCGCGCCCAGTTAATATCAGTTTAAAAAACACAATTCACGTTAAAAAACGGTTTCTCCGACTTCTCTCTAGGACGAACCTGTGCCTTTCAAGGGACGACGAGGTCGGGTCCCAAAACAGTTAAAATAGGGCGTCACAAGGATCCTCAAAATCGGCTTACATACCCGAGGCGGACGAGTTTTCAAGTTTTGTAAAAGTGTAGAGGTCGCACTAATCCCACCAGGACCCACCCTGCACGCACAAGGGGTGAAATGGCGCGCGCATTCATACAGCTCGTTCAAATGCCCGTTCCATGCTGCCTTTTCGTAACCTATGATGTGCCTATGATGATCCTAAGAAAATCTCAAAGGTCCCTGCATGATGATGATATGGTGAAAGAAGATTCTGTGGCTTCGAAGATAAGAATTCTCAGACACTGAGCAACACTTCTTCTACTTTGTACAACTGTTTTGAAAAAAAAGTTGATTTCAAAACTTGCTCACTTGTAGTGGCGACCTTTGCTTTAGTTGCATTTGTTAACTTCTTTTCAGAGACACCACCGTAGCTGTGCAAACGTGGAGTAGTTATTGTACTTGGAATTAGCATTTCAGCATTAGTTCCTAGAAACAGTAAAGATGACAAGACAAACATATAGATCAGAGAAAACTGCATAAGATGAAGCCCTCTCAACTCGTTGCGCTTTGTTCCGCCTCTATTGCACCTGATGTACTCACAGTGGAGCTGATAACATAAGAGGGAAAAGGTGACGTAATTGCAATTGCTGGACGATCTCTTTCAGCATGTGTACCTGCAAAAATTTTCAACGAGCAGAATCCATAAGCACTCTAAATGTGTGCCATAGAGACAGGTCCATATAACTCACTCGTAAAAGTGCTATCAGCTGTTTTCACAGCTGTAGGTTTGCTGGTGAAAGTAGGGCTATGGGCAGACGATGATTGTGGCGTTGCTTCAAAGCCCGTGCTAATCCTT